CCCCGGCTGACTGGGGCAGGCACCATGCTCCCGGCTGTCCTGCCCACCTTGAGTGGACAGCACCCCGATCTGGCTTCCCTCCGCGGCCCCGGTTACTGTCACACCGATGTGGGGCTGAGTCCCCTGCCTGTTCTGAAGACCATGCATGTCTGCCGTGGGGACCGTCCCGTTCCAGGACATTCCCGTTGCCTCAGGGGGTGTTCACGGTTTGCAAAGCCCCCAGGAGTGTGGCTGAGGCTTCCTCCCAGAGGCCACGTGGCTCAGCAGAGCCCCAGAGCCCCTTCCCCAGCCGTGGCGGCCTCCAAGTTGCAAAAGGGTTGCCCGATTGCAGGGAGATGGAAGATGCTCACCGTTCAGTCAACCAAGATGCACCCGGGTCTCCTGCCTGCCACTCACAGGGGCCACTAGAGGCCGTAGTGCCAGGAGCTGAAGCAGGCTCTCCTTGCTCTCCCCCTGGCTTCCCTGGTCACCAGCCTCTCTACCCAGGGCAGGTGAGCGATCAGCTTTCTTCCCAGGAGACGGGGCCGTGCCTCGTAATTCTTTGTTCTGAACCCACCAAGGGCTGGTGGAGAGAAGCAGAGAGCTCTGCAGGCTGCCCCCAGATGCCCAGGCAGGACAGACCCCTGCAGAGGGCAAGGGCGGCAGGCATTCCCTCCAGGGCTCAGGCCCTTGATCGCTTCTGAACAGTTGATGGTGGGGTGCATCCACACGCAGAGCCTCCGAGGGGTGGGGTGGGAGCCAGGTCAGGGCTGTGTGACCCTCAAGTCCCGCCTCTCAGCCCTGTGCCTGCCTTGATTCCCAGATGTTCCCAAGACTCACGTAGGGGCTCCGGGACCCCCTGGGAGTTCTGACTCGGTAGGCCTGGGGTAAACTGGTGGAATCCGCATTTCTTCCTGGCCTTGGTTGGTTGTGATGTGGGTCAAGGCTGGAAGCCCCAGCCGGTGGTGAGGTGGCCCAGCCCAGCTGCGGGGCCTGAAGGGGAGGAGGCGCTGCCACAGATCCCAGGGGAAGGGAGCTGCGCAGAGGCCAGAGCGGCATCCGCAAGGAGGCATCTCGGGAGGAGGTGGCCAGCTACTCTGGGCTCAGGGCCTTGCCCACCCTGGCCTGCAGCTACACAGTATCACCCACCCTGGCCACTCCTGCCCCTGCAGTGGGTTTGTAGGGTGCTCACCACGCAGCTGGGCCCCACGAGCTCCGAACCAGACGGGGAGCTCTCTTACTCGGCAGCCGTGGGGCTGGGGGCTGGGGCTGCGACCACAGCGAGGGGGCAGTGGCCCGGCGTCTCTAGGGCTTCCAGGCTGTTCTCTCAGGCTCTTGGCTAAGGTAGCGGCGGAGGGTGAGCATGGTGGTGCCACCGGGCACCCGCTGGGAGAAGTGGGTCCTTGATCCCCGTTGGTTCTGTGTGATGCAGGGGTGGTGAGGGTGACAGCGTTTGTGAGCAACGTGCACTCAACGTCCACGGCTCTGTGCACGTGGCTTTGTCCCAGCTCCAATGTCCTGTGATTCCCAGGCAGCTCCCAGGCCTTCCCCGGCCACCTGCATCTTCTGGGAAGGGGCTGGCGGGAGGACAAAGGAGAAACTGAGAAGCGTCCCGAGAGCCGGATGTCGGCTGCAGCCCAGTCAGGCCGTGCTACCTACTGCAGCGTCTCATCTGGGCGAGGGGCCCCTGCCAAGGCTCTGTGGCTTCTGCTGACCTTGGGCCGTGGAGAGTCTGGGGCCCAGGACTCCCAGACTCCGCCCCGGCCACATGCCCTGTGCCGAGCCGGTGGGCGTCCTGGAGTGTCAGCAAGGCTGCTGGCAGGGAGGGGGCAGCCGTAGGCTCGGTGGGGGGCTGGGGGGCTGCAGGGGCAGAGGGGCCGGCCCAAGTATGGACAGGGCAAAGTGTGTCCCGCAGTGCCTCTCCGAGAGCCTGAGGCCCAGGAGCATCTGCAGGCTGTCCCTCACCCCCTGCTGGGGTCAGGGCGGTGCCTCTGTGTCACTGGGCATCACAGAAATGCTCCTTGCGATGGAGGTTCAGCACTGGTGGACCTGTGGCTCCCGCCTCTGCTGCTCCCTGAGGGCTGAGAGGGACTGGGGAGGGGCGGGGAACGGCGCGGTTGGGGGCAAGGGAGCTGCTGCCCCAAGATGCCCAGGAAACAGACGCTATCCCCCCGAGCCTGTGACTAAGGCCGGCAGGTCTCCGCTTGGCGGGAACACCATGCTGACCTGTGCTGGACCGTCTTGGTGAGAAGCCAGCTGCCCAGGAGGCTTGGAGGCAGTTCTGCCATCTGTCGGGCCACGGGGAGCTTGGGGGCCTGGTGAACCGCCCGGCCCTTTCTCCAAGCCGGGTGTGCTGCTGCCTGGACCCCAGGCCCCTGGCATTTCAAGTGCGGTGGCAGGACGAGGTCTGGGAACTGGGGAGGTGGCCCGGGGCCCCCCAGGGAGGCTGACTTTAGTTTGGATGTCAGTGCAGTTCTGTCAGCAAAGTGTACAAGGACCCGGGGGGGCAGAACAGGGAGGCCATGCAGGGGCCACAGGCCAGAGGTTGCCCAGAAGAGCAGCCTCCTGGCTGAGGGGCATCTCCTCCCTCCCCTGCCCCCCAAGTCCCCCCACTCACCAGTCACCATGCCCCCCTTCCCTGAGGCCACCAGCCCAGGCCCGGTCCCCAAAGGGGACCAAAGGGCCCAGGGCCAATCCCGCAGCACAGAGAGCTGGGGAAGGGCCTGGCAGGAGCAGCTCCACTGCATCTCCCGCCGCCGCCCTGCCTTGGATTTGGAGGGGGGCTGGGCAGGGGGCAGCTGCAAACGCAGGGGGATTGGGGGAGTCATAACAGCCGTGGAAGGCGCGTTGCTCACGTTCTCCTATAGCCAAGCCGAGCTGGGTCCCAGTAGCATCCCTGCCCCCGCCCTGGGCCCTGACAGCCCTTATCCAAGTCCAGCCAGGCTCTGTGCCCTCCAAGGGTGCCCCAGCGTCGGCCCCACTCATGACTCGGGGAGCACAGAGGGCCCCCAGTGCCTCCACGCCCAGCCGACCACAGTGCCTGAGCCCACGCTCAGACCAGCCACTGCCCAATCAAGGCGCGGGATACAGAGACCACGTGTTTAAACCAGGGCTGTCCCAGGAGACTCTGGGTGTTCGTTGGGGCTGCCGCCAGCTCTGCCCTCACCCCGCCAGGTGGCTTTCTTCTCTGGGCCTCAGTTTCCCCATCTGAGAGGTGGTGGGGGACGAGCTGACAGTGGGTCTGGGGAGGGTTTCGGCACTGCGGGCGCCCTGCCCCCTGCCCAGAGCTCAGCGGGTGGTGGCAGGGCGGTGGGTGCATATCCCTGGCCCCGCCTGTGGGGTAGCGTCGAGGGACACGGCTGCCCTGCACTCCGTCCTGCCTCTGCAGCCCCACAGGCCCCGAGCGCTGGGCTTCGGGGACGTTGCACACAGGGCCCCCCTGTCCCCTGGGCGTGCGGAGCCGGAGACAGCTTCCCGGGTTCCGGGTACTAAAGTGTTGGTCATACGGTCACACCTGGTGCCACGGTTCTGGGAGGAAAACAGCACGGGCTGGGGATGGGCTCTGGGGGATCGGGGTCCAGAACACTCCGGCTGCCCCGTCCTCCCCGCCGGCCCCTCAGCCTCACAGCTGCACACGCCCCACCCCGCCGGTCCCTAGAGGCAGAGGCAGCGGGCCGGCCTGTCCCAACCCCAGGGGCAGCTGCCGCAGGGGGCGGGGAGCTGGGAGCTCAGCTACGTTTCATTTCCATAAAGCAGCCCTGGGACAGACAGCCCCACCGCCTGATTCCCAGAGGCGTGTGGAGTGTCCCCCTCCCCATCCTGGCAGAGGAGACCTGCCGTGTGAACAGCTGCCCTGGGTGCGGGAGGGGTGGGCGCTCTGGCCCCCCAGGTGGCCCCCTCTCTGGGCCTCTTAGGACAAAAGCGCTGTCTGGTCAACCTCGACCAGCCCTCAAGAGTTCACGTCACCAGGAGGCCTGGGGTGGCCGCGTGTCCCCCCCACTGCCCCCAGCCCAGCCCAGCTGTCCTCCTCTTCAGCCCACCTCCCTCCCGGGCCTCGCCACCCATCCCCGGGCCCCCGGGAGCCAGGCGGCCTTCTGTCCCCCTGAGCACCCCACGCCCCCCAAGTCCTGGCGCCCGAACCTCCCCGGAGGGCTTGGCAGTCAGGGAGGGGACGTCCCGGCCCTGGTCGGGGAGCTCTGGGCGCTGCTGTGGTGGTGACGGAGGTTTTTCTTTGTTGCAGAGCCTGTGCCTGTCAGTGGGGGTCCCCGGGCTGAGGAGGCCCCATACCCTGTTCCCCTGGCACCGGGTGCCGGCACCGGGCCGCGTGCGGAGAGCCTGGGTCATCCCTCCCATCAGTGTGTCTGAGAACCACAAGCGCCTGCCCTTCCCCCTGGTGCAGGTGAGGGGCTGAGAGGGGCCCCAGAGCCGCGTGCTTTAGGACAGGCGCACCCCTGGGGCCACAGGCTGAGTGACCCCATCCCAGCTGGGGGAGGGACCGAGGGCTGCAGAGAGGGGACACCCCTCCCCTGGGGCACCTCCCCAGCCCATCACCTGTCCCACAGATCAAGTCGGACAAGCAGCAGCTGGGCAGCATTATCTACAGCATCCAGGGGCCTGGCGTGGACGAGGAGCCCCGGGGGGTCTTCTCCATAGACAAGTTCACAGGGAAGGTGTCCCTGAATGCCGTGCTGGACCGAGAGAAGACAGACCGCTTCAGGGTGGGCCCTGCCCCGCCCCGCCCCGCCCCACCCCGCCCCTCCCAGCCCCTCCCCATGGGGGACATGGCCACACCTCCACCAGCAAAACCCAGCATCCTTAATTGGGGGGCAGGGGTGGGATTTGGGACCAGCTGCCCCAGGAAGCAGGTGTTCAAGATCACAGGCTCGTTTGGCAGGTGCATGAGCAGACTGAACTCTGGGTCCTGCCCAGGAGGACTGGGCAGCCGGCATCAGGGTAGGCGGCAGCCTTCCCAGGAAAGCAACACCAAATGCTGGTGTGGCCGGTTCTTCCCTGATCCTGCTATGTGTGGTGAGGCCGGGGTGCCGTGAGGAATCCCACGGAACTGGCCGCCCCCAGCGGCAGCTGCCCCGTGACTGTCAGGGTGGGGCGTCGGGGGAGGTGGGATGGCATCTGCCCATTGGAGGCCTTGGGATTGTCAGGTCTGAGAGAAAGGGCAGTGGGGAGGGGATGAACGAGGGGCCAAGGAGGGGAGCCTGGAACTCGCCTGAGTCCCCTACAGATGATCCGCCCCCCAGCCTGGCCTCCCTAAGGTGATGTTCACACTTGCCCCGGGGAGGGGGCTGCAGCCTCTGCCTCTCCTGTGCCCTGAGTCTCCCTCAGACTTTGAGAACCAGCTCTTGGTTCCCTTACACAGAGAGTTAGAGGGTGTGTTTCCTCTGGAAGTTGTACCAAGTCTGTTCTCCAAAGGGACAGGCGGTGCTTGAAGTTAAAATTTCACTTGTGGAGCGGAAACTTCAAAAGCAGCCAAAGCTGTTCACAGAAGAAGGGAGAGAGACCAGGGGCGCCAGGGAGAGCGTTGCCGCAGCCACGCTCGAAACACAGCTGTGGGCTTCCTGGTGGCCCAGGCAAGAGGGGGAGCGTGGTGGCCACCCCGCCTGCTGGGAGAACCCAGGCTCCCCTTGAGGGCAGTCCCACCTGCCCGGCACTGCCCCGTCCCCGTGCCACTTCTCGCCTCTTGCCAGCAGGACAGAGTCTGCGCTCACTGCCGCTCTTGCCCTCGTGGGGGCCGCAGTGCCAGCCCCTGCTCTCTGCTTGACTAGCTCAGGGCCTTTGCTCTGGACCTGGGGGGGTCCACCCTGGAGGAGCCCACGGACCTGGAGATCGTGGTTGTGGACCAGAACGACAACCGGCCTGTCTTCAGGCAGGAGGTGTTCACTGGCCAGGTGCTGGAGGGCACCGTCCCAGGTGAGCCTGGTGGGTTCCCGGTGGGGGAGGGAGCTTCGCGCAGGGCGCTGGGTAGGTCAGAAGTCCAGGATTTCCCTTCAGCAAGGACTTCAGCGGTCCTTCCGAGAGTCTAAAAACACGTCAACAGTCTCCAGGACGGAGGGAATTTCCACAAGTCGACTCAAGCCTCTTCCCGGTGCGATGTAAATGTCAACCCCCAAATCCTCCAGAGTTCAGAGAGGATTCCTGGATGGCAGAGCTCCAGTGCTTTCTGTTGCTCTCCCCTCCCCCTCCTCCCCCTCCTCCTCCTAAATAGAGGTGACGTTCACGTAACACAAAACTAACCGTTTTGGAACGAACTTTTCAGTGGCATTTAGCACGTTCACAGTGTTGTGCAAGCAACACCTCTGTGTCCTTCATCCCCCGAGAAGCGACCCCCTCCCCGTTGTCAGTCACTGCCTCTCACCGCTTATTAATTCTATACTGAGTGCAGAAACCACTGACCCTCTGTCCCTTCTGCGTCCTCACAGGGCAGACTCGCTGGCCTGATTCTGTTCCAGGCAGGACAGACATTCCAGACGGCGATCTGCTCCTTCCCTCCCCACCGGGTCCCTGGGGCTCTGGCCAGATCCCAGGCTGGTTGCAGACCAGAGGCCTTCAGAGCACACCAGTGACTCGGTGTCACTTCAAAGTCAGGGGGTTAACACTAACACGTAGTAACGTCTCACCTGCACACCTGTTCAGCTTCAGCTGCCCAATCAAGCCTTTTAGAGCAAAGGAGGTCCTGCCTCTGTCCACAGTCCCTGCCTCTTGTCTGAGCCTTGTTTGTTCCTGCATGCCGTCCACCTTTTCCTTTAGGGCCTTTTGCACGCGGAGGGTGGTTGCTTCAGTTCTGTCAGATAAAAGCCCAAGTGTCTGGCTGGCCGTACATCTGGTTCTGTTGGCTGTTTAATCACTAGGGTGGAATTTCCCCCTCTTTCTCTGTGTGTAAGAGCACAGCGGAGGTGGGGGCCAGCCCACCGTGGGGAGAGGAGACGGGCCTAGCCTCTGCCACTGCTTGGGCTCAGCTCCCGGGGGCCTCTCTGCGTTTCCGCCACAGCAGCGCAGCCCTGCATGCAGAGGGGCCCCTAGCAGGGTGACAACCCTTGTGTGCTACCTGGCAGGGCTCCTGGGGTACTGGGGGGTGGGCAGTCTCGGTCGAAGGTGGTCCCTGAGCCACAGGGGTGGGGCTCCTTCAGGGTCCCTGCTCCTCCCCCAAAGGCAAAGCGCCGTCCCTCCAGCCCAGCAGCCCCACCCTCACCCTGTGATTGTGGACCACCAGTGGCCTTCCCCACACCTGGGCCACCACGTGGCCTGAGCCGAGGGGCCCTCCTGGGTCTCCTCCCACCCCGCCTTCCCTGGGAGCATTCAGTGGGCGCGTGGGAAAGGGCACAGGCCCCTGTGTGGGCACCCAGGGACCGCCAGCAGCTGTGCCAATCTCGGCCCCTCTTCCTGCTTCCGTGGGGTCACTGCACCTGCTCCACCAGGGGAGCCCCAGCGTGTGCACCTCCTGGGGGGTCACAGCCTGGACTCTGGGGTGTCAGGTCGCCTGTGCGTCACCATCTGACGGGCTCACACAGCTGTGATCTTGCTTTCCCTCCGTTCTCGTCGTGGTGGCAGGACTGAGGCCCCCGCCCGCTCACGCCCCCTCACTGGGGCCAGGTCCTCAGCCGCCAGGGGCTCATGACACTGACTTCTGTTCTGCCAAATTTTATTGTGGCAAAATACATATAACAAAATTTAGCATCTTAACCATCTTTAAGTGTACGGGTCGGTGGTTCTAAGCCCATTCACATCGTCGTGCAACCACCGCCAGCATCCATAGAACTTTCTCATTTTCCCAGAAAACTGAAGCTCTGTCCCCATTAAACACTAGCTCCCCGTTTCCCCCTCCAATGCCTGCCACTGTCTACTTTTTGTCTCTGTGATTTGACTGCATATGAGTGGAATCATACAGTGCTTGTCCTCCTGTGTCTGGCTGATTTCACTGACCCTCCTGTCCTCAGGGCTCATCAGTGTGGTAGCCCGTGTCAGACTCACCTTCCTTTTCAAGGCTGAATAATACTCTATTGGATGTTTATACCACATTTTGTTTATCTGTTTATTCTTTAGTGGATCCTTGGATTGCTTTCACTTTTTAGCTGTTGTGAATAGTGCCGCAGTGAACATGGGTGTCCAAATATGTCTTTGAGACCCTGCTTTCAATTCCTTTGGGTATGTACCCAGAAGTGGGGCTGCTAGATCAAATGGTAGTTCTATTTTTAATTTTTTTAAGTAAATTATTTATTTATTTTTGGCTGTGTTCCTCGTTGCTGCGCACGGGCTTTCTCTAGTTGTGGCGAGCGGGGGCTACTCTTCGTTGTAGTGTGCGGGCTTCTCATTGTGGTGGCTTCTCTTGTTGTGGAGCGTGGGCTCTAGGTGTGCGGGCTTCAGTAGTTGTGGCTCGTGGGCTCAGTAGTTGTGGCGCACGGGCTTAGTTGCTCTGTGGCATGTGGGATCTTCCCCGACCAGGGCTCGAACCTGTGTCCCCTGCATTGGTAGGTGGGTTCTTAACCACTGTGCCACCAGGGAAGTTCCTATTTTTAATTTTTTTTTTTTTGCCTTACACGGACCTCTCACTGTTGTGGCCTCTCCCGCTGCAGAACACAGGCTCCCGAAGCCCATGACCC